AATATCGATAGTAATTCACCAGTCACCCTGTATATGTAGTTTCATTTTATTGCTGAAACAAGAAAGGATTAAGACTAAAAACCATATCTATTCAAATTTGGTTAAAATTCAAATTCTGATAATAATCGAAGAATATCAATGTCAAAAGTTTATGACCCTCATTACATAATATGTCAAAATACGGAAAGGATGATAATTTTTTATTATTTCCAATAAATACGAATCACTGTAGTGAAAAGAAAATTATCGTTTGACGTCAAAAAGTATTTACACGACGTCATCAAATACCAGCTAAAATCTATTGAAAGGTCAATTTTAAAGATTCATCATTCGTTGATATGTTTTGTTGTTGTAGTTTATTACTCTTAAGTATTTTTTACTGCCATTAATTTTTTTACTTATGACTTTAATTTTGGAATCATTATCTTTATTTTTAAAGTTTGTGGTTTAAAATAGAATAAGACAAGCCTGAAGGACATTTTTATATACTGGCATACATGAAGCTCTTGATTGAGCAGTCATGCATCCAAAATCCTTTACAACATTTCGGAATAAGCCTTTTACTTATAAACCGCTGTAACTATATAGATATGTAAGTAAAAATAACAAAGGACTTTTTTAAAGAAACTAGCATTGGATTAAAAAAGATACACCAAAATCAATCCACCCCTTTAAGGGCTAGGTACAGTTACAGATTCTTCAGACTGAAAAACATCTTCATGCAGAAGCACGTACAGGCACCCACACACACAAACATAACAAAAGCAACACATACAAAAATGGGGTTCTAAATCAACCACAATTTTAATACAGTTAACAATATTAACCAGAGGTTCAAAACCTTTCCATATTAAATCGAAGTTCAGTTTTCGGATTCTGTTCGAGCTGGTGTGAATAAAAAGTTGTGAGTTGTTCCCTTGAAAATATCTCAAGCTTCTTCTTCGATGTCGTCTTTATGTCCACAATACTACTTTCCTTTCATCGTCCTTTCACGGATCCTATTTGTCTTAGACGTTATTATGGGTGTAGCACTAATGATGTGTCATTTATACTTAATAAATTGTATACAGTTAACAATATCTTATGAGCCGATGCGTTATCAAGCTAAAAAAAGAAATAAACATAAAATCAAAATTCCATATATAAAGCAGGCGATTCTGATAGATGGCTTTTTACAAATTGTATAAGTTTGAAGTAAAATTACTTATTGACTTACTACTTATTGGCAAGATTTCATAATGCACCACGGTTTTACAATTGAAAATAACTGTGATAAAAACTTTTACATACCTACCTACTTTTGAAACTTTATTTGGGTCTTAGTTTATGTGATAGTTTAAATGGAAGTAATGGGGTATTGGTTTCCATTTTATAAATAAATCGGTGATTCACTAGTACCGATCTACTGGAATACATTTTGTTCTTCGAGGACACATTTCCTTATAAAGTTAATGTAAAGATGTGTTTGGTCAAAACTAAGTAATTATGAAACCCACGACATCGACGAAGAGCCGTCTCATACCCTAGCCTCCCATACCGTTTTAGTAAAGATTGAATGACGAGATTTAGGAGACATGTTTAGTTATTCAGCAAAGTCTCACAAAAATTTGTCGATTTCCAAAACTTTATTTTTCTCTTCACCAACATACCTATCCGTTTATTGCCGCTGTAACTAGGCTTTCTGGACGCTTTTCTTTGTTGCGTCTTTGGCCCTTTATGATCCTTTTTTTACAATGTTTGCAATGCCAAGGCTCGATATACCTTTCCAACCTTTGAAATGCGCCATGGCTATAAATTTTGTTTTTTAAGCAATATTTTAAATAATTTTAATAATATTTTGAAACAGACAAAAATCGAAGACGTTTCGGAACAAGTACAAACATGTATAAAAATTACCAGATTGTTAAATATGGCGGTTTAAGTTAAATAGCTACCAAAGATTTCTACCGTCATAAAGAACAAAAACCTACGGAAATGCATAATTGGCGACTCTTGAAAAAATAATGTATAAGCTTTTAGGGACTTTTTTATTATCAGTATTTCAGATTTATTACTATGTCTCGTTAATTTGAAGTGAAATTGTGTTGTCTTACTTTTTTTTAATATTCTCATATACCTACCTATAGATATATTAAAATATATAATATTTAATACGAACATAACTTAAGGGGACGGCGGTGCTCGCTGATTTGACAACACTTCTCACACAAAATTGTCTATTATAATGCATATTAGTTTGGTAAGGCAGATACTTGGAATTGAATCGAAGTTAATTATTATCTACTACTACAGAGGTTGTGATCAGAATCGTTATATTACATTAAAGTATTATTAAGTACGTTCATGTGTAAATAAACGCTTATATGTCTATGGGTATGAAACAAAATAGGTGTGGGTTAATTTGGATAATTTTAGAAAAGTAAAACTATACAACTTTTTTTTACATATCCCCATTCTACAGGCAAGGTCGGAGAATTATTGTATTATTTCTCCAAATCGACGTAGTTGTTAAGCGTCTAGCCTCGTCTTCTCCTTCTCTTAAGCATTCTTCCAAAATGCTTATTACTTCTCCATACGAGTAAACAAAGCCAGTGCATATTTACTCATTGATATAAGACACTCAATTTTAATTCCAAACGTATCTCTAGTGACGCCTGAATTTGTCGCAACATCAGTAGTATTCGATAGCTAGTTGCTATAAGCAACTGTGTCCGTATTCACAGCATTTCATAGAACCCTGACATCATACTTAAAAATAACAAGCCTAAATCATCAATTCACTACACTCTAAACCTTATTCAATCCTTTTGAAGGAAGTGCGTTGCATTCACTTATTCAGTGAGGCTTAGCCTTAGACCTGAGTATATAATAGAAAGTCAAGTCAAAGAAGGTGGTTGAGATGTATCTCGACTGAGTAACCTAGTACAGTACAGGAGGAGTATCCGACAGCCAGCACAAATCAAATTACGCTATAGATTGTAGACTTGAAAAAGATAAAAGATAGTATTAATTAATTATTTTTAGATTTCAGTCGTATTTGGCTATCAGAGGCTCAGACCGCGACAAACTTGTGACTTAGTAATAGATTTCAAGTGGAGGGAAAAAGAAATAAATAGATGGTAGTTGCTTGCCATGAGATACTACCATAGCAGCTTGTGCTAGCATGAAAATAAAACACATTTCCCAAGGAAACAACATTTGAATAGTTCTAGGCCAAGCCAAAGCCGTGAACATTACTTTTCAATAAGTATTCCACAATCAGGGCCGTTAAATCTTCCCCAATATCTCAACACACCCAGAGGTTACGTCTATAGATAATGAGGTCTAAGTCTGTCGCGAATATTCATTTAAATGAAACTAATATTTTCGGATTACTACATAAGAATTCTTAAAAATATTATAATAACGCCAAGCAATCTGAAAATATTAGTTTCATTTAAATATCTCTAGATTTTTGAGGCATCTCCATCCTCCCGGGAGGGCAAGTCTCAGGCGTTCATAATAGTTTATTATGCATATATATTTCATATTCAGTTATAATTGTACCAATAGTATTATATCTGTACGTGGTAATTGAACAGAAATTACATTTGTTATTTACAATTTAGTCATTGAAGATACATTCTTTATTTTCTTAACAGAATAATCAGAAAAATATCCGTAAAATACATATATCCTTGAAGAATAAATTCAAATAAAACGATCATAGTTTAAATAATTTAATTGGAATACATCAAAAAACAATAGTTGTACAGATTTGTACATAAATTGACATTAAAATTATTTTTGGTCGAATAGCTCATAGTATACCGGATCCATATAAGTCATTACAATCAAAATTATATAAGTGAATCTTTAATTAACATTGTCTGATATTTTTTCATTCGTCTATCGCATGTTGTGTTACTGTCAGATAAAGAGGTGGGGGTAAAGCGAAAAGCGCTTGGCAGACACTATGTAGCGGGCTTGAAATATATTTATATGTAGTTTACCATATTAAGTTGCGATTAAAAACGTGCTTGTATAAATAAAACGAATATTTTTCGAAAAATTTTCAGTAAAATGTCTAAGATCCAAAAAAGTTTCACTTACATCATCATCATAGCTCATTAGTCTAATAAAATAACTTTCATAACATATATGGTTATAATATGAATTTGTATGAATTATATGAACGGTATATAGTATACATTTTGTAAAGTGAAATATTATACAACAGGTAAAGTTATACAAAAGCTGTATCATAATAGTTTAAAATTCAATACAATTACAAATGGTGATATGATAGAAATTGTTACATAAATTGAATTAAAAATATGTAAAAAATTATTTAACATAAGTATTTGTGCAGAAAAATGACTAGAATACCCTGCTTTAAATAAAATTAGGCAAGCACACAAAACAACACAAAAGCAACCATATAAGTATACAAATATAAATTAACACACAATGGTTTTTGCACACATTTTCATAATCATAAATGGAACTGTAAATATATACATTATATAAAATCAATAATTACTCTATGAAAATTGGCCAATAACCTAACACAATGGAACTTATATTTCCATAATGAAAAGCCCAATAGCGGATATATTTTGTTGATATTTCATAACAAATTTGTATGTTTACAAAACATTGAACAAAAAACAGATAAAACTCTATATAAATAACAACAAATTCAGATGATTCTGTGCATTTAAGATTCAAGCCAAAGTTACTTACAAAAATTACATTTCAATTCAGTTTTTTGACAAAAATTTATAATTTCGTGCACACGTTTTCATTTCTAACCACTTCCTAACAGTATCAATAAATATATACAAATAAAGAACCAATTCGTAATATTACATATTACTTTTAACAATTCCTGTTCATACTTTGAGATAATCTGAATTTATTGGCACATTACTAGACATTGAACAATGAATAATATGATTTAATTAATGAAAATCAGTCTCAAATCAGATCTTGTACCTTATTTGAATGTTACCGTTAAATTAACATGAACACAGTTTCCTGTCTTGTTTCGCTTGTAATCTTTGTAATGACTGTCTCCTACGACCAGACGCACACAGCATGGCATATTCCACTGATGACTCCATTCTGAAGATTATAAATGGAAAATTGTTATTAAATATGATATATTAAACTTTCATATATGTATATATAAAATTGCAGGTTTGCTTGTAATGTAGAATTCACTAACAAAAGTAGTGATCACTCTTTAGTCTTTGTTCTGGCTTATCTCCAAATGGTCTAGACCGATTTTGATAACTTTTTCATTGGCTGGTGATGTAATATGGAAAAATCTAGACTACTTTTATATTAAAAATTGTATATATATTATCAATAAAAGTTATATAATTAAATGGTGTTAATACTTTTTAACTAAAGAATTTTAGCAAGTATCATGAGTAAATATAAATAAATATTACTTAGTATATATTATGTCTAAATATGTTGAATTATACTACATATACAGGGTGACTGGTGAATTACTATCAATATTTAAGGAGAATACTCGGTACATGATTCTCATTCGAATTATGTAAAAAAAATAGGTACTTAATTTTTGACCAAATTTCCGTATAAATAAATAAACCGTGGACACGTTCCAAGTGTTCCAAGTGTGGACGCGTGCGGCGGCGTGCTGAAACAACACTACGCCGCCGCACGCGTATGTGTGTGTGTGTGTGTGTATGCCTAATCTGTAGGGTGTTCACGCGATGCGTAATTAATTACATAACTTTTGGTTAACTTTACTTAGAAGTTTATTAATATTTATGTTATATTAATTTTTATTTTGTCATATATGATCGTCAAATATCACGTCCTCAAGTATCGATAGTAATTCACCAGTCACCCTGTATACCAAATATATGACCATTCATTTCACTTCTTATACTATTTCAATCACATAATAAGCAATACCCTATAGTTACTGGGATGTAATCCACTGTATGTAGATTTTATTTTCACTTACTTTATATATACATTTTTTCTAAGTAAGAAAAATATATATAAATATCAAACCTGTACATAATTCTATCTAGCAGTATCTCAGTGGCACGGTCAATATTTTGTCCTGTTTTAGCACTTGTCTCCAAGTATGGCAGATTATAGTTCTTGGCAAATTCCCTAGCTCGATTCTGATTGACCAATCTCTTCTCTTGAAGATCACATTTGTGGCCACACAGAACTATGTCAGGGTCGTCACTTAAACTGTGAGTCTGGAATATAATACAAGTATTGTTATTATTAGGGTTGTACAAAACTTGTTGCTTTTTATGTCACAAAATAAGATTTTATCAGGATAGCAATTTTACCAGCCAGTTAAACAATAGTCACACTAAAATGTCTTAGTAAAAAACAAGATTTAAGTGTTATTCATCCTAATTGAAATTTCAAATATTATTTTTTAGAAACCTTACAGTATTTAATATTTTCATTATAATTATGTGCTGTAATTATTAATTTTTAAACAGAAATCAAAACCTTCAATAAATTAATATTTTGATTGAATTCTGATTCCAATAAAAAAAAGGAAATCTTATTATATTTCTTTTCCTATAAAAACTCTGTAGAAAAACTTTTCTTGTCTTTCAGATTAGCTATAAATTGTAATGGGTGCAATTTTAATAGGGCAACCAGTCTTACTGATTTTAGGTTGTTTTAAATATTAGAATTTTTAGTTATTCTTTGTACAATGTTCGATAAACAAATACAGCACAAAAAAAAGAATTAAATGTAGGTACATCTATTTTTAAGTCTTCTTTGTTTATATACTTGAATAATGAATATACCTTCAATTGCTCGATCCAATTCCTAACTTCTAAGAAAGAAGCCTCGTTTGTTAAATCAAAGAGAAGCAAAAATCCCATTGCATCTCTATAAAAAGCTGTTGTTAAGCTCCTGAATCTGAAACGTACAAAAATTAATTATATTATAATTAAGAAATTAAAATATACATATTTTATATTAGGTTTATCAGTTTTTATGTAACATTGGCCTGATTGGTATTATATTATAAATAAATAAATAATTTTTTTTATACTAGGTTTATAAATTTTCATCAATATTAGCCTATTAAAAAGTGTATTTAGAACTTAACAATATATTTTTAATTTAATATTATTTTAAAACAATATAAATACCTCTCTTGTCCCGCTGTATCCCAAAGCTGTAAGTGAATGCGATGCTGCCTAGAATTTTGTTGATATATCTAAAATGATAAAGAATGTAAGGAATTATTTAATTATTTTGCTTATAATATTATGATAAGTCTAGATAGGAGTCTAGTTATTTTATACAGAGCATATGTTGTAACATACCACAGTTTTCTCCCGGAAATCAATACCAACTGTTGAAATGAATTGAGTGTGAAAAACTCCATCAGTGTATTTATACAAAAAGCTCGTTTTTCCAACGCCGGAATCACCAACACAAAGCAGTTTTATAAGATAATCGTAGTCCATATTGAACTCATTCAAATAATATAACGTTATAATGGCTAGAATACTGCTGTATTTGAATCATCAAACAATTAATATATAAATTCCTTTGGCCCACTACATAATACTATCTTAATTCGAATCTTATCTTAAAAATAATTAGTTAGGGCCCGATAAATGACCATATCAAACGATAATAATCGATTTTCATTGACAAGTGACTTTTAATTAATAATAAATGACAGCAAGGAAGGAAACGTTTAAAAAACATCACTTTTAATTCCTATTCCAAGTTTTTCAATTATTTTATTTAATATTTAAAGTCAACTTAAGAACCCCCTAAGTAATAGATTTTCAAAGTCAAATAAATCTACCGCAGCTGTTATTTCGGCGATACTTAACCAGTTCAATTGATATTGCTAATAATTACTAATCCATTGAGAGGAACGGAAGATGTAATTTAATTTTATTTTATTCATTATTAATATTTTTAACATTCCATATTTTAAATTGTGCAGTTTACCCACCTACGTGTTGTCAATCTGACAACTCTTATTTGTAATAGCAACCTGTTACCTACTTCATCTACACAAAAACATTACACAAAAGTTGTATGAAAATTAAATCTTCATTCACTAAAGAAAATACAATTTACTGGCTTCCTATCTACATACACTTATTTTAATATTTTTTAGGAATTTACCTGTTTCTTATATAAGAGCCATATAACTATTTTGAGATTACTTAATAACACAATGACAGAAAATGAAAATCGTAACACCAAAGTTGACATCGAATACTGGTAAATTATCGTTTCTCATGAATTCTTTGATTGTTTAATTCCGTAATATATGTAACTTTTTATTTTTTAGTAAAGTATGTGATTATAAGGGGCATTGCTTAGAATTGGCTGAAAAAATTAAAGCAAGCATTCCTAATGCTGCAGTTTCATGTAAACAAGGCCGGAGAGGTAAAACTATTAAAGAATTAATAAAAAAAACTGAGTATCTAATTAGTTTTCTTCCAAGCTCATCTCATTTATTTCATTAACAGGATCTTTTGAGGTAATCATCAATGACAAACTTGTTTATTCAAAATTACAAACAATGGCCCTGCCAGATTATGAAGAAGTGGTTGAAGTTGTCGGCGAAGCTAATTTAGGAGCTGAACCAAGAATAATAAAAGGTGAACAACCAATAAACTGTGCAATATCATAACATTTTATTCTGATAACAAAATACGACAACAATATAAAGTAATGTTTAACATAACATGTATAGAAGTCTTAGTTTTATTAAGTGAACACTTATAACAGAAACATTGTAAAGTTATTAAAAATATTATTAATATAAGTTATAAAAATATTTTGAATATTAAAATAGTTATACAAGAATATTAATGTCATTTAATATTATTATAAGTAACAGTTCTTAAAGGAATGTTTTTAGGAATCTATAATAAATATACCTGTATTGAATTACGTACTAGGAGTTACACCTTAGCATTTATTGGTGCAGTTTGAGTAAATCGACTTCAACAATTTGGTACCAAAATATTGATAAATTTAAATAGTGGTTTGATATAAATTGTTAAAAACTATCAAAGAAAAATGGGTGATTGATGAAACAAAAATCTGACTTAATAGACATTCAGTTACCAAGATCATCTCTGTGGATAAAAACCCTTAATCGCCAGTGTAGTATCTTGTTTTGCTTTACTCAATAATGTTAATTTTTCAATATAACTATGAGATATAAATTATATCTAAAATTCATTTATTATTTCTAAACTAAATAAATTCATTTTAATAAGATCATTTTACTATTAATATGAAGATATACAATCAGTGTATAAACATTTTAACTTAAAAGAGGTTTTATCGGTAAATTTATATTTAAACTTCTATCCTTCATACCATTGATTGGTCCTATATAACTTAAATAAATTCCAAAACGTAGTTTCCCGCCAAATTCTTCTGCTATAGTTCTGAGTGGTTCAACTGTTTTTTCTCCCGAATTTTGATTTATACATACCATTTGACAGCGATTACATTGACCTTCAACCTGAAACAAAATAACAAATATCTTTAGAGAATATCTATTTCTATATTAAAAAATATTTAATATGAATGCTATTTGAAATTGGTTAGTTAAGTTACACCTATTAATTATTATTGGATGTGTGTTAATTACTTTAAATTTTTATTATCAACAGTCAGTCAATATTGCATGTTTTTGATATTTTATTTCTGTAGTTTCTAATGCTTACACATATTAATTGATTCAAACTTGAATTAAATATTTAGTTTTATGAATATAAATATAATGAAATTTATATACAGTATTGAAATAGATCTCATTTATATTTAATTCAATATCAAAGTTTTATCTATCATTACATAAGTTTTACGTATGAGAAAAGATATAAAAATAGCCAGTTAAATAATATCTGACTTTGAAATGAATTGTGTCTAAAAAAGTATCTTATCTTGTAAAAAATTCATACATTTTTATCATGTACCTTTATATTATTATTTTTTACTTACTTAAAGAGTAACAATTTCAAGGGGAAAAATTAATTATTTAGTCATGTTTATTGAACTCATTTTTAGTATAGGTACACTTTAGAAAAAATGATTTACAGTGAGGGTCTATTTACCTTACCCAGTTCAAAATATATATATTCAAGGTAATAATTAACACTTAAAAGGTAAGTTAAGCCATTGAAGGTATAAATATTGTAAAAACAATAGTAAACTTACTTTGAACTCATTTTTCCCAATGATAATCTTAAGCCAGTCTCTCTCAACGAGTTCTTTTTGTGTATCAATAATAATATTTCCTCTGAATCTATCAACCAAAGTATCAATATCATCTATGAATGTTGGATCTTTTATTTTGTTCTTCAACCATCTTACAGTCGCTTTGTTTATCAAGAGGAACTGCGCTTGGTTACTAAGTGATAGCATTTGTTCGCCGTTTTTCTTCTGAATTCTTTTGTCATCGGAACATTGTCTTATAAGTCTTAAATATGATATTTCTAAGGCACGTGATATCCAGTCCGCTACTAAGTCCCCGCAGTCGTAACCTTTGACCACATCAGTGCATACTTTGCTTTGGCATAAAGACATTTCTTTGTATTTTGTATTGGGCGGGTCTAGAGGTATTGAAATTGACGGCATTCCTGTAACATGATAATATCAAGGATTTGTATTAGTTTATTAATAGACAGTAACAATTTATTGAAGTGTTAACTTCTTATAGGATGGTAAACGTAACGTTCAACTTAGGCTGGTTTTAATTTCTCTCGTATATGCGACCAGTATTAAAAGCATGCGGCAAGTGTTTTGAGTAATATTCCATTTAGTCATCAACAGATTAGCAATGTAATGTATATAACATTTAAGAAGGAAACAAAATTTTTATAAGTTACACAATCGCTATTAGGGGAAAGTGGTTACCCTTCATACGTTTTTCAGATTATTATTTTTTAAATTACCTATATTAGGTAAAAAGTTTAAGTTATCACTTCGGTCGAAAGTCCCGAGACGCACAAATTAGTATTTTCCTTTTTAATATAATATATTTTTGTGCTTGTTCTGACATATATTATAAATCCAGATCATTTTATATCTTTTGTTTTGTTATAGATACAACCTTGATCTGTGTTTCTATTTATTAATATAAAAATACTTTTCTACTCACCTTTAAAAGTAAGTGTCAAATATTTCTTATTTAAATCTACAATCGGTTTTATCATACACATTCGGCTGTTTTGTTTCTGTGTCAAACACACGCCATTGTCTTTAACTATCATCCATTCTCTGTCATATTCGAATCCTTTAGTCCCAATCATCCAACCGTTTTTAATTTTAAACGCCCCACAGGATTTGACAGGGAATATTGCTAGTTCTGACAATTTTATATTAGATTCAGTATTATCAATTGGCTCTATGTTATTCGTGATGTAATTTTCATTTACACTGTATATTTCTTTAGGGAAATCAGTTATATTGTTATTTATTTGTTCCTCGTAGAACGAAACTGTGAAACGTTTGCGTTGTTGATACTTTCTTTTGACGAAACATCTTGTTATCATAGCAATTAATCTGTCTACGTCATTAAATGTATTGTAGTATCCAAACGATACTCTTATAGCACCGGTTGGTTTGTTATTCACTAAGTCCATTTCATCACCACATTTGTGTCCGGCTTTATGCATGATCTTCATCTCTTTGTTCGTAACATCCAAATGTCGCTGACATGAACCAGAATTACAGAAGCAACCGGTTCTAACGCTTATATTGAATAAGTCAGCCATGTGTTGAAACTGAAATAATAATTGCACATTATATTATGAAATAACTTTCTAATTGGAAAATTATTATTCCTACTATTATAAATGCGAAAGAAACTCTGTCTGTCTGTCTGTTACGCTTTCACGCCTAAACCACTGAACTGATTTTAATGAAATTTGGTACAAAGATAGAGTTCACCTTGAGAAAGAACATAGGATAGTTTTTATCCCAGACTTTTGAAAAGTTTTCTTGGAACGCGATATAACCGAACTTCACGCGGACGAAGCTGCGGGCGGAAAGCTAGTAACGTATAATTACAATACTGCAATAGATTTTACACTCGTACTAAAATCAATGTTACAGGTTTAGGAAACATGAATGCACTTTTTTACGCAAAGAAATTCTATGAATAAAAAAAATACTATTGCTCTGCTAGACTGATATTAACTAAAGGTAGCCAAGAACACCATAAGGATATAGGCTTTCACATAAAAAATTGCATCAAACTCGATCCAGCCGTTTCAGAGCTGCTTTGTAACATACAGATACACTCACACACATACTTCAACATCGAACTTATAACACGCCCTTTTTGCGTCAGAGGTAAAACATGTTTTGTGGAGCAGTCAAAAATTGTTGCTCATGAATTATATTACTTTGTTTTAGATTTAACAAGAGATTCATTAAGCAAGATTTTTCAGTTTTATCAATGAAACAAGTTATACAGTAAATAAAAATTTCTATAGTAATTTAAGAACATCTTTGTAATAAAATAAGCTATACAGGGTGACTGGTGAATTACTATCAATATTTAAGGAGAATACTCGGTACATGATTCTTATTCGAATTATATAAAAAAATTGGTACTTCATTTTTGACCAAATTTCCGTATAAATAAATAAAGTGTGGACACGTTCCAAGTGTTCCAAGTGTGGTCGCGTGCGGGAGCGTGCTGATGCAACACCACGCCGCCGCACGCGTGTGTGTGTGTGTGTATATTTAATCTGTAGGGTGTTCACACGATGCGTAATTAATTACATAACTTTTGGTTAACTTTACTTAGAAGTTTATTAATATTTATGTTATATTAATTTTTATTTTATCATATATGATCGTCAAATATCACGTCCTCAAGTATCGATAGTAATTCACCAGTCACCCTGTATAGCCTGGGATTTTTATTAGTACTTTTAAGTCCTACCCAAAACGAAGGTGTTATAATCATTATCTTTCTGTAATATCATACCTTTACTATTCGTTTTTTTTAAATTTAAAAACCAGTTTTCTCCTTATTTATGTTTGATTAAAATCAGTCCAGCAATGTAAGAGTTTTTAGGTGGTAGAGCCTAGCTGTGGTTAGCTACTACAGCTCGAACACGGGCTGGCTCGACCGGGGAAGTACCACCCTCTCACAGAAGATCGGCGTGAAGTAGCCTTTAATGGCTGCGTTTCGTCCGATGAGTGAGAGAGCCGGTTGCCCTTTCCCTATTCCCACCCTTTCCTACAATATCCTTATTCCCACCCCTCCCTATCCCTATAAAACAAGGTTGGCAACGCATCCGCAACATCTTTGTTGTGGATGTCAATGGGCGACGGTAACCACCTTCCATCAAGTGGGCCGTCTGCTCGTTTGCCACCTTTAACATAAAAAAAAAAAAGAGTATATTTTTCCAAAATGATTTGAGGCCTTTTGGAACTATAAGTGTTTCATACATGCAAGTACAAACTTTTATTGATAATGCACAGAATGTATCAAAAATTAATAGAATTTTATTATAATAATATAATTTCTTTAATTTAAATTATTTTTTTAAACACTAGCCTCTAAAAGGTATCCTATTAATAATATAACTTTTCATTGTTTGTGAGTTGAGTTTGTGAGTGTGTATGTTTGTTACTTCTTCACGCTCAAACGGTTGAACCGAATTTGATAAAATTTTGTATACAGGAAGCTGACGTCCAGGAATAACACATACGTCCCAGAAATCCGCGGGGCGCAGCTAGTACAACAATAAATATAACTTTAACTACTTTTATTAAAGGTATTATATTCTTACCTCAGCATATCCAATATAAGTTCCATTTTCCCTTAACAGATTAAATGCGACAATCGCTCCTTGTTTCTTTATATTTGTAAAATCTGAATCCATATACAATACAGCTGCTCTGTTACCATTCGGATGTTTAAGATCAATCAATTGTTCATACAAATCTCTAGCTAAATGGAATGTGTGAAACGAAATAGTATCCATAATATTATTATTTACTATTTTTGGTATCAACATTGCCATTGTGTCGAAGCAATGTTTCAGAGCGATGATTGACAAAAATGGAAGAGTGCCGTCTTCAAATCTGTGAATATGAGAAAATAAGGTAAACTAATTGAATTACAGTATTTTAAACCAGTTTTACTATTTATAATATGTAGGTTTATATCACCTTTCATGAAGTGATGTTCGTTTTACATGAAAATCCTCACTACTTAACACAATATCCACGGTTCCACCTCCAAAGTATTTCTTCTCACTTAATACATCCGCACTATCGTTTTTCACCAACAAAGCTCCTAAACCAGTTGGGAATCCAAATATCTTGTAAAAGGATAGACAAACAAAGTCCGGTTGAGTAACTGATAGGTCCAATTTGTTTGAAGCGACAAATGCAGCAGCGTCCAAGAGTATATACCAATTACAATCCACCTCACATAGCTGTTTCTTAAGGTAGCTTCCGAGACACCCATTTTTAATATCCCGTATATAATTTAAGGGATATTTGAACCCATTGAAATTAGTTTGGGCTGGATATGCTAATAAAATGTTACCTTTCTTACTATCTCTTTCATAATTTTTGGGTATTGATTGTATTGATTGCAACGAATTCAGGAAATCATTATGTGTTATATGAATAACATAAGCGTTTTTCTCTTTAGCTATTTCTCTTAATCCAAGAACAGAGGTATGATTGTCTCTGAGGTACATGAATGATCCGTTGACATCCTCGCTTTGGAATTTAAATGATTCAACAACAAGTTTCAAGGATTGAGTTGTTCCAGATGTAAATATTAGGGTATATGTTGATGAGTCTGTGTTAAAATGCTTCAATACCCTGCTTCTTATTTGTTCTATACAGTCTCTAGTATATTTATCTGAATGTGGATTCAAATACACATTATTTAAGAGATCTTCATTTATTTTCTTCAATTGTATCTGAGGATATAATGCAGTCCCCGCGTTTTCTAAGTAACATTTATCTGTAAATATTAAAGTTGTATATAGATTATAAAAGAAAAATTATGTAATACTGGCAAAAACATAATATTACATGTTATTACGAAATAAAAAATTATACCATACCTCCTATATGGGTGAATTCATTCCTTATAATTTGCATTCTCTTATTGTCAAAAACATTGCTTAGAGCAGACATTTTTATTGATTTTCAACGTTTTATCACTTTTATTTACCCAGCTGGAAGTCCTAACACAATACATACTGTGACTGATGAAATGGCTTCAACTCTTACTAAACACCGTCCCTGAACACAACGTAGTCATTAAGAGATAATAACGAAAACTAGCGGCAAAAAATTATATATTCTAATTATACTGTTATCATTTATTTGGCCGCTTTTTTAACAATTTTTCACTCATTTTATTTATTATTCTTAATATATATATTGCAAGCTAAGTGTTCAACATTTCAAATTTTTGATGTTTTTGTTAATGTTATTAAAATTATATTTTAACAAAAACGAAATAATAAATTGTCCACATTTCAATGTTGATTTGTAACTGTCACTGTCAGATAATAATTCGCGGATCACAGAATGCTTAAGCAATTATTTGTGTTATTTTAAATAAGCAAACGACAGCTATATTCACGTTATTAAAGAGTAAAAGGAACAATTTCAAATAAGTTTAAATTAGTCAGAAGTTATAAAGGATATGAAAAGAAAAGGGTATCTCAATATAAGTTTCTAATTGCAGTCTTACGATCTCTTTCAGCACATATATACAATACTTAATAATGAGGTTAAATAGTTTGATATTAATAAGCTATTTCTGGAACAATATTTTATTTCTATAACCCATTTACTATGCCATAATGCATAAAGTCACAGGTACATCATAGAACCTCCGACGGCATCGCCTTACTAAATTGCGTTACGCCAATTTAATTATTGCTTTTATGGAGAGCTTTTAGTCGCTTTTAGTAGCAAGCGAGCGTGATCGACTCCTTTAAAGTGAATTGGCTTTCACGACAGGAAGACATTTTCTCTATCTACAATTTTCTCACAGTATATGTTTTCCTTAACGGAATTATTACTCATTCATCTTTGATACTTTGAATTCAATCTATTTTTGCATATAGTTTTTATTTTTTACTTCAATACAAATTCCTTTACTTAAATAAAGCATTAAATTTAAACCTATTAGAATGCCAACTCTGCATTCACGATTGTTTCATTCGTCTTATAGATAAAATGTTAATTAGTGGAAAATTCTTTTATATTTTGAAATACGTATTTATTATCTCTAGAAACTATACAGTTTGAATATATTTTCTTTATATTACGTTATCGTTTGCCTTAATAGAGCAATTCCTATTTTAAATTAATAAAAAATAGATATCTTTACCGCAGTCGTGTGTTCCTATATCCTTGCTATTCCCTCCATTGAGAAATCAGCACTTTTTTCAACCCTGGCTCCGCGATCTCTGCGTTATTGATAATTAATGAACGTCTCGAAATAAACTGAGCGTGTCAAAGATGAGACAATAGCGTACCTTTTACAATAGGTTAGCGTCTCTAATTGAAAATATACGTCGGGTTATTTATGAATTAATATTTATAAACATCACCGATATTTACGGTTTTTGTTTCCTTATTATTTATTGCTTTTGAAGTACAGCAATTACCTAAGGCTATCAAAATTTAAATTATTATTGAGTGTGAGTATGAGAGGTTTCGGTAACATGGTGTAGAAGATCTATTTTTTATGCTAACGATCATTGACACTGGAATTGTGATATGGAAGATGTCCAACTTGTGGTGGAAGTCTTATGACGAAGAAAACCATAAATGTGAGCCCGACTTCATCGAACGTAATTCTATATTTTACTATAATGTGTTGATATTTTTTTTATGTTGTTTAATTCGTTAGTATATTTTGCTACGAGAAAATCTATAGATTTTATTTGGATATTCATAAAGAAATAAGAAGACTTCCATCTGAGTACCGTTTAATTTTTTCTGCTTTTATTTAAATATAGGTAGGTATGAGTATGTATTTGTAACAAATAATAAAACGTAATTATAATTATTACACTCATGAAGAATAGAATAGAATAGAATAGAATATACTTTATTGCACACCACAAACAGTAAATTTTACACGGAAAAAATAATAATAAAATAAATTGAAATGTACAAAAGCCTGAATAAACCTATAGAACAGTGATTTTAGATAACTAACTAGTAACTACTTATTATTAAGTAGGTTGTTTCAGTGTTTAATAATTTATATCAACTATGAACTTTGCTCGCTGTCATGTGGATGAGTTGTTTGTAAATTACGTTTTTAAGTTTTTTGTTTTACTTTACCTGACCACTCGATCGTGGGAGAGGTTTGAATTATATTTCCTATGTAGTATTGGGAACTTTTTGGTTCCCATGGCTGAATGATATCAGCGTTGGACTAACAATGTCACAGGTTGTATTTTATTATACCTTAAAATGATATTAATTCATTTTTATCAATATATTTCACGAATGTAATGCTCCCAGACATGGGCTTAATTTTATGTTCAATGCAATCGTGACATTCATTTTCCTTGGCAGTAACTATTTTGGACGCCTCAATGTCTTGAATGTCAAATAATCATTACATCGTATAAGTACTAACAAGTAAAATAAATATATTAATCATATTATTACATGGCTTGTTTCTGTTTGTAATAAGTCTTAGTACCTTTGATTAATAGTATTTTCATAGTTACATATAATGTGAATTACTGTGCTAAGATGTCTGTCTGATAAAGAAACAATCGTCATTTCGATAATTGGGTGCATTTCGACATGAAGCGCCGGGAGCAATAAATGTCTTATATCTAATATCTTTACAACATTCTTCTTTCCTTTACTTCCTAATCCCATCAAAGTCAACAAATCCTATACTACATCACGGGTATTTAAGGACGACGGAAGTATTCATCAATTTAAGATCCTCCTTTGTACAAAAATATAAAATAAATATCAATTGTATTTTGTTTCCTAATATTTATGGCGATATTTTTTAAATAATGCTCAGTATTCAAAGGTTGTTAATACTTTAGAATCAATTATTTAATAAATACCATACAATTTTAATGACATAATATATATGAATATGCGTAAACGTCGAACGCATAGTATATTTAAATAATATTGATAACTGTTTGGAGGTTTTCTTCTTTAAAAAGTTGTCTTTAAATAATGTATATATGTTTTATTTTTATTCATATAGTTTCCTGTTATTCCGTGGGTGAGTTTTAAGGCGTTAAGGTGTCAAGAGTTGCTATTAATTCAATGCCAAATCAAATTTGTCCACTATTTTTTTATTGAATTTATTGTTAAGTTACCATTGACTCCGGCCTTTGGATGTCATTAGCGATAAAAACGCCGTTACGTTTACTTGTGATATTCGGATTTCGTAATATGAATACTTTATACGCAATCATAGTTTTTCTATGCTATGCGTCTATCAATAATTTCGTGTATAGTTTTGAATTCATCTTTCAACGAGACGGTACTAGTGATCCGGATGTTTTTTTAAATTCGCCGCAATTGGTTCGAAAATATAATTACACTGTTGAAGAGCACGAGGTTACGACGGAGGATGGATATAAGTTAAATATCTTCAGGATACCAAAGAAAGCACCACCAGTTCTATTGGTCCATGGAATTGGAGACAGTTCTGATTGCTGGTTGGTACTGGGTCCCAAACACTCCCTGGCGTATCAACTAGCAGATAATGGCTACGATGTTTGGTTATTCAACGCAAGAGGAAACCGGTACAATAAGGAAAATGTCAATAAAGTACCGGATAAAATATTTTGGGACTTCTCGTTTGAGGAAATTGGATATAGAGATTTACCAAGGACCATTGATTACATATTGAATGTAACGAGTATTTCAAAATTGACGTACATCGGATTCTCTCAAGGAACAACAGTGTTTTTGGTGATGTTGAGTTTGAGACCTGAGTATAACATTAAAATAGAACATGCCATTCTATTGGCCCCTGTCAGTTCTTTGATTACAACAAAGTATCCACTTATAGAATTTTTCTATAACAATCTAGATAATTTGAAGTCTCTCGCTAGGCGAATTTATGAAGTGTTTCCATTCAATGAAAGTTTAAATCGTTATCACGTGTCAGTGTGCAATCCACGATCGCCTTTGCGATTACTTTGTGAATTGGAATTATTTGTTAATTTTGGTTTGAAAAAATTGACGAATCTGTTACCAGAAAAATTGCCAGTCATAACAAGTCACATACCCGCTGGAACATCTTCAAAACTCTTTCTACATTTCCTCCAATCCTATAAAGGTTTTCGCAGATACGATTACGGTGGAACAAGAAATAAAATCGTTTATTCCTCGCCATCCCCACCAGAATATAATTTATCTAAAATATTTGTGCCAGTTACTCTAATTACCAGCGAAGTGGATTGGTTCAGCGCAATTGATGATGTGAATGTACTTAAAAATAAGCTGCATAAAGTAGATAAATTTATAGTGATTGATAAAAACCGCCAGTTTACGCATCTAGAATTTATATACGGTGCTAGGGTAAACAAATTTGTTAATCAACCCGTTATAAATATTTTAGGATATATACATAAACTGTAAAACTTTAAGAAGCGTAAGATATTCAGGCTGTGATGGATTTATTTTTTTTACATATTTTGTAAGTTTAGTTAGTATTACATATTTTAAGTATTTGCAAGTAGTAATCTTAATGGATGAAATATTCAACATTTTGTTGCTAATTTTAATTAAATAAGGAATTCTAGTATGCTATATAAACAAGTACATTTGGTAAATAATCTTTTGAAATAAACAGTGCTTTAAAAATATAACTCGCGTAAATTTGGTTTATATGTATTTCCATTTCGTTGCAGTAATCTTGTTCACAAAAGGAAAAACTTAATGTTTCTGAAAAATATTAATATCTTAGATTGAGTGAGACGGGGTTGAAAAGTAAAATAAAAACCAAACATACGTGTGTTATATCCGAAGAAAAAAACCTTTTATGTTTAACTAGTGAAAGTCATAGAAATTGAAAACAGGTTAGTATTTATATTATTAACAATATTTAAATGTTGTTAAAAATTTATAAATTATGTCATTACACGATAATCGTGTTTGTTTTAGGGCAGTTAAATATAAAATTTTAATTTAAGGTCATTTTTATTATGCGCCGAAAACAAGTTTATAACAAACGGCATTCTTGACATTGGGTTTTGACCTCGATGAGAATGATAGCTGTAGGCCTGTGTTAATTTATGGACGAGTAATCTATGACTTAAAAAATACATATGGAAGCTGGTTTAAAAATATATATTTAAATGTAAATATTTGATAATTTGAACTACACACATTATATACATATACCTATACGACGCGTTGTAGGAAGCAATGTCTTAGAACGTTTCCTAATTAATTTTGTTCTATTTTTTGAATTTAGCGTAGCACAATTGCCTCTCAACTATTTTTATTATTCTGTTTAATTAACTTAAGGAAACTTAATATTAATTTATTTTTTACCTAAATGTGATGAATCTTGAATAAAAAAGATTACTTTATGATTAATTTCTATTTCATGAACTATCTAGTTTATTGCTGACTTGCTGGCAAACTTTTCTCTCGATCGAAATGGAGAAATGTTAATATTTCATGAGCCATGTCCTGGATTGGGGTACTTAGTCTCAGTTGATCTCAGAATATTTTAATTTTCTGCGATAAACTATTTAAAACAGCATTTACACGTTTTAAAATTTACATTTTATGAAGTACGTCAACTAATGAATTATCTTTCTACATGGATTTATTTTAATTTTACCTTGAAAGTATTGTTGTGGAACAGAAAAAAAAATGTAAAAAAATTGATTGTAAGAAGCAATTAAGTTGAGTATATTTAGTTAATTATTTAAGTAATGCTTGTAACTGTAATAAACGAATGAATGGAATATAATATAGATGTTGTATTGTACAAAATTTATAACAGAGGAAACTGGAAGAGATAATAATGGATTGAAATGTACCATGAATAAACAAACAGATCTCCAAAGCTATGTAAGCCTGTAACTAGTTTTGTGAATTCGTGTAGATTCAAAAATTAAAAACTCCATCTGCCGCTTCAGTGTCTGAAACAGACATCCAATCGTGATTGCCTCTCTACACTCAATTTAACGTTGAAAACACTCTGTTTTGTTCGTATAATGAACTCGATGGGGCATGTTGGTCCGGTTAACAGACTCTTACTCATTGTCATCTCGACCCGTTAGTGACGTGACTGTAATTAATGTAGTCGGTCACTATGTGTAATATATTTAATGAGCTTCTACTAATTTCCTTAAAAGAAAGAACTCTCAAGAGCACGACACGAAGGAAATAACATCATAACGCATATGAATATACATATGTTTTGTATAATAAATTTAATACAAAATCGGTTTTTATCCTCCCTTGTATGAAAGCTCCTTTTGTTTTTGATATATAATTCGAAGATGCTTGAAGCAAGTCAAAGTTTGAGTACTTTCAATTGGTCAACTTCATGTTCTTTGATCTTATACAGCAGAAATCTGTTCATCCAACTTTTGTAGGATGTGTTAAAAATTTTTAAATATTTTTTTTGTTGAATGTATAATTCTTTTAAAATGAACAAACAGATTTTAAGTTCCTAACTTTCAATGAAGATCTTAGATCTGAGCTGGAAATAAAACATAATAGTGAAGATGAAGATAAATCCTAGATGTATAAAATAGAAGTTTAAATTTCTGTAAGTACTTTTCCAATTTTAAGACAAGTCCAATTAAACTGTCTTCTTTTTGTTCTCAAAGTCTATTTTTCAGCCACTTTTGAAAGTGTCATTTCTGCTGTCAATTGCATAGAAATAATTTTATGATAATCTTAGACATAATTCTTATTCATTTTAAAACAATCAAAAATGAAAGAGAACAGTTAAGGGTTCATGGTAATTTATAATATTGTCAATTTCAAACATTATACTTATTTTCATGTACACTTCCTTTATACCGTGGGATAGTTGGCAGTGTTGTTTTCACATCTTCATAAATAGTATCCGATACTAAATAGTGTATAGATGGTATTAATTTTATTTTATAGAAGTCACTAAGAAGCCAAAAAATTCGCTAAAGAGAAGATTAATATGTCATTATGGCCGAATATCAATACCAAAGGGCATCTGTTGGGAAATACAGGAACATGTATAACATCAAACTCACACCTGTTTTCATAAAAAATAATTCAAAACTCCATTTAGAGTTGATATTTTAATTTATATCTGGACAAAAATATTTTTTTATAAAACAAGTATTCATTTCGATGTCGAACAAAAACCGATTCCCAGATACACAATACATGGGTGAGTACTTTAACCGCAGCACTGTTAAAAATATACAACCTTTTTTCACAGGCACATTCGCAAATAATAAAAAATAGTAGGTATCTTGCTTATGGTGAGTGAAATTAATTGTTGAATTGAATCAGTTGAAACATATTTGTAGGGAAATTTAGAGTTAATATCAACAGTAATAAAATTTTCTTAAACAGTTTCAGAATCAAAATAATAACAAAAAATAATAAAGGCAATTAATTTGTCGATCTATTGTATTCTAAACTTATATATTTTCTATGATAAAAATAGTATTTATAAAATATTTCCGAATCAAAACATTTCTGAAGTTCTATATGTATATAAATTCCTGTATCGTTATGATGAAGACGTGACAATTGCCGAGTTAAAAACTCTAAATTTATGTGACTCTATTGAAGAATATTGCCAATTGATGAGAAATTGGACTTTTAAGAAATAATTGACATGTGTTAAACTTTTATCGAATGAGAAATAAAAAACTTAACTTTTGATTATAATATTTTACATTCAATTTGGTTGTCTTTCAAAAGTGTTGGTGGGCTTATACTGGGACAGAACAAGTATATTTTCCACCCGTGGTAGTCCACGCCATAACAATTGGGAAATACAGGATGTATTTAAACATATTTTATTTAACTTGAACAATGAATATTTTTAATTGCCTCTATAATATTACATTCATAATAATTTCTAAAAGAATCGTTTTAGAACGTGCAGTTTAAGAAGAAAAAATAATATTAGATAAATATAGGCAAAGAAAACAAAAAAATGATGTTTCCATTTTAAATACTAGAACATGCGAAATAAAATATTCCCGTTATCACATTTCCAGGCGACATACGGAAATAGAGCCCGTCGACAAATTGACATGCGGCGTTTCACACAAAGGGAATTCATAGCGGAGTACCTGAGCTTCAGATATTACAGTCTTTCTGTTCAGACTGCCATTAAAATATATTTCATTACGATTCCATTATATTAAATTTATAGTTCAACGTTTAGTATATTTAGTAACAAAATCAATGCATGCGACTTCCCACCAGGGTGTATGGAGACCCTTGGTGCATTATACATTCTTTGATTTCATTTCATTCAGGTAACACTGACAGGCGGTGAAGGAAAACATCGTGAGGAATAGTCTTATAATTACACAATTATAAGTTTCAAATTACCAACCCGTCTTAAGCAAGCGTTGTGATTAATGCTCAAACCTTCTCCATGTGAGGAAGAGGCTTTTGCTCAGCAGTAGGCTCTGATAGGCTGATGACGATGACATAATAGGAAGCTCCCACAACATAGATATTGAATAATTTGCCATGTTACAATTGTAAAAATTCATGATTTATGTTTGATATTGATATAATTAATGAAAATGTTAATGTTTACTTTAGTTTATTTATGAAAATTTATAATGTGTCAAGACGAAGAAGGACTTTTTTAAATTCCTTTATTTAAAATCTCAATAGTATATTTCTGTACTAAAATAACTATCAAAGATATCATTTAAATGAGTACTCACGAAAGCCTTAGATCTCATTACATAAATTAATATTATTATTTTTAAATAAAAGTGTTGATATCAATACAAAAATATCCTTAGCTTGTTATAGATACGAAAATTCAATAATTCGATCAGTAAACGGCGGTTTCAAAGTGATGTCCAATGACATTACGTTGAAAACAGTGCTTTGTTCAGGTAATGAGCTCGTCGGGGCTCGTTGGTCCGGCTAACAGACTCTTATTCATTGTCATCTCGACCCGTTAGTGACGTGGTTTTAATTAATGCACCATAGTCATTTATATATTATAATTAAATCATGCTGGAGTTATGAGATTTATGGAAATATAAAAAAAATATTAGTATTTTAATTAGTGTGTTTGAGATTTTCCTTTTATATGGTATAACTATTTACTTAAATGAACACAAAGGTCTTGTTAAGACTTCCTGTAAAGGGATTTATAGAAGATTTGCAGTAGTATTGGAGGGTGATTTAATAGTAAAGGTGCTTAGAGTACTTCTTTTATAAATTTAATTACAATAAGAATCGCTAAAAGGGTTAAAGAAGATATCCCGGATAATAAAAATAGGCGTGCGTTTAAGTCAGCAATATGTGAACATACAATACATAAACCCAGCTACTACACCCGGTTTGAAAAACCACTGATCCACGGTCATGAAGACAGGTACAAGTCGATATAAATACATCCGTGAATCCCAAATGAAATTAAA